CCAGGATGGGAGTTACGGACATGGGACTGTCCGCATCAGTCCTGGGGTTTGAACACAGACAGAGGAAGCCACAATATTATGTGAGCAGCAGACATTTATGGAACCCCTTTGGATTAGGATCCTCCCCTTTCATGGATCCCACAGGATCACATTATCTCTTAGGATCCAGACCAGCACACACCTATCTCCACTGCTCTGGTGAGTTCACGTGGATGTGTGAAAACAGGAAGAGTGGGCAGGATGCTGTGTCAAGGCCTGACTTGGTAATGACCTAGTTCTCAGGCTTATTGTGAAGGAGAGTAGCTGAGCCCTTTGACAATAGGGCCTGAATTCAGGTAGTTCGCATCTCTTCCTCATATCCTCTGAGAGACTCTGAACATGCAGCTCCCTTGGCCATGCCTGTGAGGGAGTGTGCTTTGAGTCCTCTCCACCAGGAGAAAGGCTGCTGATGTCAATGTTGGGTCTTGCCCTCCTAGGTCAACTAAGCTCCAGGGTACTATGAGCATCTCTCAAAATGTCCTGGAACTGTGGTGAATCACCTGTCCTCTTGATCAAGGAGTCAATGGAGACCCCAACAAATGGACTTGAACCAATGTCCTGTCTACAAAGAGGAGGGTCAACACAGAGAAATCATTTCCTCCATGCTTCCAAGAGAAGCCAGCCATGGTTGAGTAGGACCTTTGACTTCTCTTCATGGAAGGTAGACAGAACTGGTTAAAATAGGGGTCAGGGGCTCCTCCCTAAGCCCACGTGACCCCTGAGAAACATGCCCCCAAACGACCTTAAGAGTAAAAATAAATTGGTTTATCTGGGCCAACTATATGGCCTTAAACACCCCATAAAGTGTAACCAAAGATTAAAGGGGCCAATATAATTTTTAAGAGTCCACATGTTTAGCTAAAGGCTACATAACAAGAAACAATGCCAGATAAGAGATACCTTCTGCTGAGTTGTTGGCCAGGGTGTCCCAAGGGACTCCCAGATAGTAACCCAGCATAGAACTGGGAAAATGAACAGCAGACCCCAATCATATCTAAAGGAATACTGACAACTGATTGCTGCTAGATGAGGAACAGCTGACTTTCCTAAAACAAAGACCGCTAGATAGGCTGACTAGATTCACCAGATGGACAAGTAGTAGGAAATGGCTGGGGGCGGGGCCGACAACACAGGGGATAGTAGCAGGGATATCAGAGTATCCCTGTAGTGAGGGGAGGGAGGCTATGGGAGGGTGCCATCTGGGAAGTGGGTGTATAGTTGAATAAGATGGTTTGGGATGTTCTGTATGATACACACACACACAAATCAACAAATTTTTTAAAATGCATTATATTTGGGGAGAAAGCATAAAAATTTACATCATATTAACTGGTAGAGGTGATAAACATTACCATTGAAATCTACCCAATGACTCTATAGACATACACAGGCACCAGGGATCCAAGTGCAACAGATTATGACTAGTAATAATCAGATACATACAGATTAGAGATGCATGTGCCAACATCTCAGTGTTAGTAGCAAAAACAATGAGTCTTTCTGTAAGAAACAGTTTATTTTATAGCCACTTTTGAAAGAGCTGTATCTTTGCTCTGGAAACTGTTATTGAGCATATTAAAGCTGTAATGATATGCTTCTTCTTAAAAAAAATTAAAAAAACAATGTTAAAAAAATGTAGGAAGCAGCATATTTTAAAATGAAATGGAGATCTTCTTTAAAGGGTGAAAACTCATTCAATTTTATGTCTTACAGGGTTTATACTGAGTTCAATATTGTATAACTGTATTAATTCAACTGTGAACCTAAAAATTTACAGTCACTTTTGAAAGAGATGTATCCTTTCTCTGGAGTGTGTTACTGAACATGTTAAAGCTGCAATGAAATGCCTCTTCTAATCATGTGGTTATTAAATTTTAAAAAAATGTATATGTAATACAAATTAGTAAATATTTTGGATGCAAACAATAAAAAAATTAAAGAAATATATGC